CCTCGGCTCTAGGGGTGTCACAGTTGAGCTGCTTTGCACCGTCCAGGATTAGCCTCTGACACAGAGGCGATGCGTTCAAGAGAGAGAGAGAGAGATGGAAAGAGATTAAGAACGCGTGCCTCTTCAATGCGGATGACGAGGCCGCCAACACGGCCTAAAAAATATTAACAGAGCTGACAGTCTTGTATCCTCTACTTGGCGAACTGCGGGTCTGCATGTGAAGGACTGGGCCGTTTTCTCGCGCTCCGTCCTTCTCTATTGTCTCGTTCTCTCTCTTTCTTTCTGGCGTGGAGGGCCCCTTACCCTCAATATGCTGGTAGGTCGATCCCCAGAAACCCCCCCCCCTGTCTACTCGCACCGGAGTCTCTACTGTTGGGAAGCCGGACGGTTGGGCATTGTTCGGGTCCTAGAAGCAAGCCCACAGGACCCACCAAGAAGAATGCGCGGGTCCACAGAAACTCAGCTTGGCCCCACACAGAAGAACTCACCCTTCCTGCTAAAACCCCTGGTTTCCCTCACAAAGGAACGCGGGTCCCACCGAAACCCAGCCTTGTCCCCCCGCAGAAGAAGGCGGGCCCGCAAACGCTGGTCCGCCAAAGAGGCGAGCCGTCTTCCCACGCCAAAAACCAGGCGAGTGCCACTGAAAAATGCCCCACGAACAAGAACGCGGGCATCTACCGAAACTGGCCCCATGCAAAAAAACGCGGGCGCCGGAAACCCTCGTTGGTCCACGCACAAGAAGACAACGGGCCCCACGAAAGCCATTGCCTAGTCATGTGTCGCACGCAGAAGAACGCAGGTCCCACTGAAATTCAAGTTGGTTCCCTCGGAACAACTCGGCTTGGTCCCATATCTTCTTACCGAAACGCATGGTGGGGTCCCCACTCGGGTCCCGCCCCACAAGAACGCAAGTGCCACGCAAACCCATGTGTGTCCCGCGCAAGGAGCGCGGGTCGCACAGTGAAGCCCATGTCGGTCCTCTGCCGGCGAGTCCCCCCAATAGATTCAATAGATTCAATAGATTCTCCGAAGCCTCTCTTTAGACTCCTTGCGCTCCTCTTCGCATCGCCCCCGTTGGGCGACTTCGCATCATGGCACCCATGAAAGCAGCGGCTCTCGCTCTCCCTCCTTCCCCCGTTGGCGGATGGACCTCCCTCTCCTTCTGAGTTTGAAGACGAATGTATGTATGTATTTTGCATGGGAAAAATCAATGAGTTCAATGCTGAATGTCATTGAATGCTGAACCTTCCTCCCGCAAATCGAGCCTGAGACTTGCAAACTGGATTCGAGCCTGGTGGGCTGGGATGTGCACAGAGCCCACAGCGAGCAGAATGTCACACAGCTGGCCCTGAGCCAAACGATGCCAAGTGCCAAGAATGCAGAGTCTGAGACACTCTGGTGTCCTCAAAGTGGTCCTCCTCCTTCCCTCCTTCCCTCCTTCCCCGCGCGCCTTTGCCTGAAGAGCTTGCAGCCCTGCGGAGAGCGAAGCCTCGGCTCGCCCGAAGAATCCCATCAACCCAGTCAAACCACAACACGCTTCTCACACAATCTCACACATTCTGCTTTCAACACAAGACAACACAACACAACACAACGCAACGCCCCCGCACACCCGCACGCCCGCAAGCCCGCACGCCCGCACGCCCGCACGCCCGCACGCCCGCACGCCCGCACGCCCGCACGCCCGCACGCCCGCACACCGCACCGGTGTCTCAAGTACCCTCTCAGGCCTCCGGTGTCACGCCCAGTGCCACCGAAAGCTGGGAAAGCTGGGAGGAGGCCTCGCAGAACGCCGCAGTTAACGCCACAGTTAACGCCACTCAGAGCACGCCGTCGTAATCGGCACTGCCTCGAAGCAGTCCGAGTCCGCGTCCTCCCCGTACACGGCTAAACCCTAAACCCTAAATCACTAACCCTAAACCCTAAACCGTTTAGGGTTCCTTTTTAAATTCCAAAAAACGGGCAAAAGAGCAGCACTGGCTGCCAAGGACTCCGGGTCTTCGGGGTCCACGTTCAAGGTGCACCAACAATCACTCACAGTCCCAGTAAATTGAAGCGTCCTCCCCGTACACGCGGTCCAAGAAAGCTTGTGCCTCAGCGCTAACACGGCATGGATTGCCGTATGACAAGACTTGCATCACTGCCCGCCTCACTGCAAGCCTCGTGAGCTGACACATTCTCCGTGCTGAGACGAATCTCCAAAGGCTGCGGCGGCCTGCTCTCACAAGAGCAGCTCAGGTGACATGTCGAAGCCAACATGTCTCACGCGTGAGCTCTGCGAGCTCTGCGAGCTCTGCGAGCTCTGCGAGCTCTGCAACCCCCCCAAAGCTTGAACACAAAAGCTCGCCAAGGGGCATTGGGAGCTCCGGAGCTGGCGAGCCCTGAACGCGAGAAGGCGCTTTCGGAAGAGAAGAGAAGGGCCAAGAGAAGGGCCAAGAGAAAGGCCAAGAGAAGGGCCAAGAGAAGAGCTAAGAAGAGAGCAGCCCCAACAGAGTGGGATCCCTTAGGTGGCCCCCCAGCCTGCTCTTTGTTCTGGGACCGGATGTGCTCCTGCAGCATCCTGCTCCTGGCCGCTAGGACGACCTGCAGAGCGAAGAGCCCAACACGGAAGCCGACAGCACCATCCAAAATGCACCTGGTGAGCATGGTACTGCTCAGGTCCAGCAGAGATGACGATGTCGCAGAACAGGCCCTGACAATTCCCACAACCTTCTTCCGTTTGGTTCCAACTTCCATCTTAACTCGGCCAGTTCTCGGGACACGACGAGAGATACCAGCCGGCAAAACCAAATATCCACTGAAGTTAGTTTCTTTTTTGCCTTGCCACCCTTTTTGTTGTTTTGCCTCGCTTGCGATTGCCGCCTTGCATTGCTTGCTGTTTCTCCTTTGCCTGCGAAGCCACATGCTTTTCCAGGCCTCGCATTTTTAAAGTTAAGGTGTTGCCTGTGTGTGTGTGTGTGTGTGTGGGGGAGGGGGGTGGTGCTTTGAGCCTCTGAGGCTTGAAAGGGTTTTGTTGTATATCCTAAGGCCTCTCCAGCCTGGCGAGGGCCTGGGAACAACACCATCCATTCCAGGGAAGACAACGGAGGCCTTTGAGCAACGTCGCGGCTATCCTGTTGCGTCACCCTGTTGCAACGCCCAAGCACCCGGTTCTTAAGCCAACCGTCCAGGAAAGGATAGCCACACTACTGCTGTCTTCCAATGGTGTCTAGGGGCTGATTGCTTTACGGTTGTCAGGGTCTTTTGCGGGTTATTGCCTTGAGCTTCATGGTCTTGGGGTCAGAACCTTTCGGCCTTAGTGTTTTCGAGAACTGGGTATACGGCGTGAAGACTTGAAGATGTTGCTCCTTTGTGGGGATTGGGATTTCTAGGTTGTTCAGCGCTTTTTTTAAGGTGTCGGACGTTTCGCTTTAGAGCTTCGGCTGTTGGAGAAGTGTTCGTTCTCACCTGCGTGTGACAATGACATGGTTGGAGGGTCTGGGAGGGCTGCGCCTTGGAGAGCAAACAAGCAAGGCAGAAAGACCCTCGTATGTTGTTTACATCCCTCTGCTCCGTCTACGGCTAGACGTCGATTGCCTCGGCATTGCCGCTACCATGCTGCACTTCTGATGACTACTGTATGACTACTGTATACTACTGTGATGCTGAAGTTTTGAGAAGGCTGAGTTTCGGTGAGGTGCAGCACATCTGACGTCAGCTCGCACCGCGATGCACCGAAGAACAAAGCTTGGCGCCTGTGTCTGGAGGGCTCGCAGCGCTGATGCCACGCGAACACCGCATGCCTTCACCAGCAAACATTGCACCGTCGACGGGCGTTTAGCCAGTGTAGCCAGTTACTGCCAGTTTCGCCCGGCCCTCAACTTCCCACACCCTGACCAACGGGCTCGGGGTCGAATTACCGACCCACTCAAGCGCTCGGATTACTCCCCCCCCCCCCCGTACACACGGAGTCTTCTAGCAGAAGTTCGGGCTTCGTCTGGACTACAAGCTGCTTCCCAGACATGCCTGCAAGATTCTGGCCCAGTTGTGGCTGCTGGGCTTTCCCTGAATTCTGCTGTTCAGCCTAGCAAGGGTTTGGAGACATGGTGGCCAACCCAGTTTTCTTCGACATTCTCTACTCACTGGGCTCGAGCCGGTTTGGAAACACTTGTTGCCATATACCAAAACTCTCCCTTCTCAAGACCCACGGCTGCTACAAGAAAACAGGTCAGGGGGGAGGTAAGCGTATGCACCGTATAAAGGTTCATGTGTGGAGGCCAGGCCGCTGCGTCACTAGGTTTGTATTTTAACCAGGCCCGTTGACGCGCCGGCGCCCTCTCTTGCACACTTTCTCACCTGAACGTCGTCCGGACCCATGGTTTGAGGCCGCACTATGCAGGCACCTTCGTTTAACAATCCTTCAAGTTTCTGTCCACGTGAGTCTGCAAATGAGTGCTGGTACTCGAAAGAGCTGGGGAGTGATGCGCACTGCGTTCCGTGCTGCCGTGAAACCATCATTGTTATTTGAGCAGCTGAAGGCTGGAGAGGCTGTGACATCTCTGCACGATGCCCTACGCCCACTGACTGCAAGAGCTGCAGGATGCAGTTGGCAGCAGACGGAGCAGTCGGAGCAGGCACAAGGACGGCACAAAGCCTTCTCCAAACCTGAATGGCCCGGGTCTCCACGAATGCGCTTCGCGGCATGGCTCATGGCTTGCTTCGAGAAGCAAGCTTGAGTCGACTCTCTGTACAGGACGGAAGACAGCAAAAATGCTGGGGTATGCTCTCGGAACATACGATCGCTGTGAAACTGCGCGATCCGTGCCACAAAGGATTCCTCCTCGCGCCGTCTGGGCCCTAGACTACGTAGGAAAAGTCTCTGAAGCATTGCCACGGCTTCGCCCCATCAAGCTCGGCTCCACAGCATATGAGTTGCCAGACTGCCACAAAAAACAGATTGAACGGTGCGGTGAGTGCAAGCAGAGGCAGAGACCATGGAATGTCTTCAGCAGTGGCCGAGGCTAATCCTCCAGCTGGTCGGGCTGCCCATCCTGCACCTGCTGTGGAGAAGGGAAATATGAAAAAAAAAAAACGGGACCGACAGAGAGAGGCAGAGAGAGAGAGAGGAAGCATGCACTCTGCGACACAAGTCGCACGGGGTCACATACAGCAGAAACAAAGGTGCGGTGTATCAAAGGAGAGAGCAGGGAGAGAGCATTCAGAGAGCGAGGAGGGAGGAGACTTCTGACGGCTGCGGGGGCCTCCGGGACATCCAGGGATGCGTCGGCCTCCACGGGCATCCAGGAGATGGTCTTCTTGTCGTCCATCCAACTCAGAAAAGCCCCAAGGATCGGGCTTAAATGCGGCTTAAGCATCTACTAGAGATCACACAGCATGTTTCAGTCTGTAGGAGGGAAAGGAGAGTGTAGAGAAGGTTGGGAGATGTGACGATATGAGACCCCACCCGTCTCAGCTTCCGGCTTGAAGTCGATCTGATACAAGTCACCCGGTGATGCGCCGTCCTTCTTCCCGTCGATAAAGAAGTTCAGCCCTTTCCCTGCCTCGATTCGCAGAAACGAGCAACATGCCAAAAACGTGCAAGACCATGCTTTGTCAGGCGAGGGCTCTGCCGGGCACAAAGGCTTGCGGATGTCAGAGTCTGAAGCCATGTCTGAGGATTCCGGCGTAGTCGGGCCCGACGATCTGCTCCGTACTGTCGGCCTTCTTGATGAGGGGATGGATCACCTCCCAGGGCTCACAACTCGTTCAAGCGTCCTTAGAGCAAACGGCAAAAGAAGATGAGAAAATGCTTGCAATTGCGGCCTCCAAGCTGTCTTGGGTGCAGGACAGCTGAAACTCTGCGCACAGGCTTTCACCCAGAGCAATCGTGCAAGTGTACTGACCGTACCTGCGTCAGACTCTGTCTTCACACTTGCCTCTACAGCACACTTCGCACTGACTTTGTACAGCAGGTCCGGCCTTCCGCCATCCATTGCCTGCGGAAACGAGCCGAGGCTGTAAATAAGCAGCGAAGATCATCGAAGATCACCCAGTATCCAATTCCAACGTTGTAGATGAGTGAGGGCAACTCCACATGCCCATTACATGACCCGTTCAGTCATCTTGGAGCAAGTGCTGTTAACGAGGGGTGCTTCGCCGAAGTCCTCCTACGAAAATAAGCGCGCTGCCTTGTAAGATCCGAAGTTGTCCCAAGAGCCGCTGATGTAGAGCGTCTGCCTGTGCCACGGCGTTTTATCGCGACACAGCCGAGTGTGTTTCCAGAGCCCATGTCATGGAAAAGCTTGGCGCCACCCGATGTGCAAGGCCCTCGGCAGAGACGGCGTCGGCAAGTTGGCCTTTCCGCACAAAGACTAGGCCAGCGCAAACAGTGAGAGGCCATGTGGAACCGCCAGAACATTCCAAGGGTCCTCCAAACCGCAAACCTACGCTACAAGAGCACTCCAAACGCTCGAGACAGCCATTGGCAAACGAAGAGCATCCCGCAAGAGAACTCCAAGAGCATCCAAGCTACCAAGGACACTTCAAAGACTAAAGCTTCATGGGGACACGAAAGGGCGGCCCCTGGTGTTCCAGGCGTCCTCTGCGCATTACTTTTCCTTTACAAACGTCGACTTTCGAGCCGCCGGAGCTCCAGACGTCCTCCGTGTACTACCTGTGTAGCACAACAGTTGACTTGCGAGCCAGGACCTCCGGCCATCCTCGGCGTACTACGGTTGTACTACAATCTACAAAAATCGACTTTCAAGCACCAGAAAGCTCTGCACAGAGGTGACGTCGGTGCCGCACGTCGCTAACCAAAAGCGACGACAGTTACGAGGATGGCGGCGTCGATTCTCGCGGAGCCGTGGCGGGAGCCTCGCTTTCCCGCATCGCGAATTGGAAACCCCTGAGACCGGCCGGCCGAAGCGAAATCACCCAAAAACGCTGCCACGGTGTCAGGACGCAGAGCGATGCAAGCCTCGAAAGATGCACGAGACCCAGACAGAGAGCGCGACATCCACCCGCAAACACCAGAAAATGCGCACTCGGCCAGGCGAGAATGCGATTCGACACCGTTCACGAAGTCAAAAGCATGTAAAAGAACCACGAGTGTTGGCAGAACGTTTGGAGAAGAAAGCAAGTGCACAGGAATGACTTTGAGGACTGACGGGGTTCACGTGTCTTAAGGATCTTAAAGGATGTTGCGGGGTGGTTTTGGTGTCGCGGCTGTTGCGGGGGCCTTCATGGCCGCCTTGTGCCCCTTCGTCGCGTACCCGTAGACATCCGCTCGAGAGTTGGTGCCGCCAAACCCGAAGGACCTCGGGGAGAGCGCCAAGTTCGAGGACAAAGAGCAAAGGAACCAAAAAATGCCACCAACGCATTGTCCTCATGCGGTCAAGTCTCAAAGTCATCACGTCATTCCCCGTGTGTGGACTCTGAGCTCTGAGGTCGAGGCGAAACCCCACAGTACAAACTGCTGAGGCCAACGTCGATGTCCTTCGCTCAACTCTCAGACCATGAAAGTTCGCGCGCGCGCGCGCGAAGTTCGCTCGGCCACTCGTTCCCGACACGTCCGGAGACTGCAGCAGCCGGGCCAAAAAGCGGTGCCTCCGAGTCGAAGTACACGGGATAACCCTCGATGGTCAAGTGCCTTTGCAGAACTTCTAGAGGTAAAGCAGCCTTTAGCCACGGAACATAGTTAGTAGGAGCACGGAAAAAGGAACTATAGAGGTAAAGCAGCCTTTAGCCACGGAACATAGTAGGTAGGAGCACGGAAAAAGAACTTAAAAAGAACGGAAGCAGAGTTGAGAGGGAAAAGTTCGGGGAGCCGGCGGGTTGATGATGTTGAAGTGGCAGTTCGGAGGCGCCGTGCCGAAATTGATCATCATGATGCACTTGGTCAAGCCGGCGATCCCGGCACCGGCCTGGAGACAGAGCTTTGTGCGCTTTTTCATTCCCTTTGTGTGAGCAGTCTAGCTAGAGTGCAGAAACTCACCCGTATGCTGGCCGCTCCACGAAGGCACAGTGTCACAGAAGGGGAGGTGGGGAACTCTTTTGTGAGGGCCTCCAAGTGAGCAACATTGCTCTTGGCGCTGGTCTTCAGGATTGGGACTTTCCGCTCATGCCTTCAAAAACTCACACAGCATCACACAGCATCACACACACAGCATTCACACAGAGCCTCACAGACAGGACACTGGGGAGGGATCACGGTGATCGCAGCTGTGCTGAGGGGAAGGCATGACTGCCATGAGCGCGCCGACTTCGATTGGGTCTCCGAGAGCAGTTCCCGTGCCGTGGCACTCGGCTATGGACACCTGAGTCTGACGCAACACAGAGACACGCAGAGGGACGCCACGGTGACACTGTGAGTTGTCGAGATTTCGAAACATCGAAAGACATCGCTCCAACTGAGAAGAGACGCACAGGTCACTAGCCTTGCTAAGGCGTTGTCTCTGAGGTGGGACAAGGCATGAAGAATTGTATGAACATGTGTGAACACGCGTGAACATGTGAAAGCACAGAGATGCCAAGACGATGGCGGTGTTCGGGTTGATGCCCGCGAAACGCATGGATTTCTTGATCACCGCCTGCAACTTGCAGCTGACGAAGACCCATGTCTGAAGTTAATGGGGAACTTCAGACATGCTTTCAGCAACCTGCTGCGCTGGGCCATTGGGAGCCGTCAAGCTTGCACTTCGGCCATCCTGCGCAGGGCCGCAGAATCGCGCGACTTGAATCAGCCGATCTTGGACCAAAAGGCACCGCTTTAGGGCCTAAAGCGGCTCAGGCGGCTCAGGTGGCTAAGGCATGGTCCTGATTGGTTGCCGTGCCAATGAGTGCCTCCGGTGCACTGCTGCGTGTGCCGCGATGCAGGCGCCGCGATGCAGGCGGAGAGTGGCACGGGCGCGTGTTAAGCAAATCGATTTTTGCGTCTGAGATGCACAGACACGCTCTTCTTCATCACGCTTATCACCCTGGTACAGCTTCACGAAGACACTTCCACAGCCTCGCCCGCGTAAGCCCCCACAATCAATTGCTCTCAGCTGCGCTCTGCACATATGAGCTGCACATGCAATGCACACGTGCGAATGTAAAGGCACGCCCTGTGAATGTGTAGCCTTCGCCGCGCTGGTAGCCATCAGCACTGCGGTTGAAGCTGAAGCTTCGGCCTCTGCACAGCACGGAAAGTACGCCTCTTTTGATGATTTCTTTTTCCCCGGATGCTTTCCCGGATGCTTGGCCTTGATGTGAGAGCATCGTGGCCATGCAGTTGCCTGCCCAGACGAAAGGACTGCATGCGTGTCGTGGAAGGGATCCCCCCCGGATGCCTATAAAGGATCCAGGTCCCAGCAGCGTGTTGACGCCCACCTTATTCAAAGCTTTTCCCGGGTCTACAAGCGTTTGCAGAAAGGGTGTGCTTGCTTGATTGCGGACATTTCGTGCTTGTTCCTATGTGTGTGACAGAGAGACTGTGAGAGAGAGAGAGAGGGAGGAATTCATGACTGCAGAGCCCCCCCTCCCTTTGAGCCCCCTGCGATCAACGCTTCGGCGTTGTCGGGCTTCGGTGGGTCCGAGTCGAACATGCACCTCAGTAAGGAAAATGTGAGAGACTCTCTCAAATTCTCCTTCTGATTCTCTCTTTTATCTCTTTTGGGCCGCCCCGCAGGTGTGCGGCGTTCATTGCGACCAAGGAGGCCGAGCAAGCCGTGTCCTCAGACGTGGAGGGCGTGAAATACAAATGTGCGTCTGTGTGTCTGTGTGTCTGTGCGTCTGTGTCTCTGTGTGTCTGTGCGTCTGTGCGTCTGTGTACTTGTGTGTCTGTATGTATGACACACGTCACGCGTCGGTTGTCACATCTGAGCGTTGGTCGTAGGAGGAAACTGGCCCGCGGATGTCGAAGGTATGGGCGATGCGCGCGGCTGTGGTGGCACAGCTCATGCTGAGACCTGACACTCTTGGCATGTTGGCATGAGCAAAGGAGACATGAGGAGACATGAGGCAAAAGTAATGGAAGTGCTAACATCACGGGGTCCATCAACGAAAAGCAGACCACAACCTGTAACCCCTCCATTTCACACTCCGAGGCGCCCATCATCGTTGGGCAAATGTCAGGACAAAACCTGCAGCAGAGCGAGGAGGAGTGGGAATAACAAAAGGGATTCTGAGACTCTCTTGAAGCGCAAGAGGCCGCTTCGAGAACTGCTGGCCTTGCCCACTCTGTCTGAAAGCTGTGCCAGTCGGGCCCAACCTTCTTCCAGACTCCAAAAAAAGGGAAACAGAGCAAGGGAGGGATTCGCTCTTTCTCTGCTCGTTCTCTTCATATGCTCTGCAAGAACCCGGGCTCGCTGGCATCTCCGAACCAGATGCCCATGCGCCGGCCCTTCAAGCCTCGAGTTGTCGTACACTTGGTTGGTTCCATGTACTTGCATGTGGAGCTACGTTGTGCTTTACGTGTCTGTGTTCAATAATGAGCTTCCACATGGGTCACATGTGTGTGTAGGGGGACCGAGACCGTCAATCCGGTCCAACGAAGCTAGACAATCCGTTACGCAACCTGATCAGTCATATCAGTCACCCTTACCTGCATTTGAAACACCCGAGGCTTCACTCGAAGAATCTCGAAGAGGCTCTTTTGCAGAGTGCTCAGCACATGAAAGACATGTCACGTAGCAAGAGCAGCACCTATACTAATTTCTTCGGGGGCACTGCGTGCGAGTGGGAGCGTGGGCGTGTGGGCGCGTGGGCACGCAGGCGTGTGCCCGCATGCACGTGGGCACAACGACCATGCGCGCGCACGTGCCTGCGCGTGCCTGCGTGCGTGTCTGTCTGTGTGTGTCCGTCTGCCTGGCTGAGTCTGTGCATCTTCCTGTTTCCTATGCGAGCCACCTGCCCAATTGACAATGAGAAATGCAACAGAATTGCGAGCGCATGTGCTGCGATCTGCGGAGCGGGCTGTGTTTGTTGAATCCCGATGCAACGAGACACTCGTAGCCAACCTGGCAAAAAGCAGTGCCCCCATCCATACCACGCGTTCGTCTCTGCATGAGCAGAATTGCGCCTCCATCGACATCTTTTGGCCGGGAATCATGGACCTCGGCAACCGGGAGCAGGCGGCAGCACGCCGCATGTGGCAAGCTCTCACATTACGTGGCCAAAGCTCTGAGTTGCCTGGCCGAGCTTCCGTCTCATCGATGCCGAAGAAAACTGGCGAGGGGAACCACGAGAGCACCGGTGCTCTGCGATGCTAATGATGCTACTTGCAAACACGCTGCCAGTGCAGACAATGGCGCGTTGCGCAACGTTGCTTACATGCGACTGGTCTCATGACAATTTCGGCGGCAGACCGTTGTCGAATTGAGTGATCTGGTCTTGACTGACAAACCCACCATGGCCTTAGTCTTTCGGATGCTGGGAAAGGACATTGGCTCCCTTGACCTGTAAGACTGCAGCATGTGTAGGATTTGCCGGTGGCAATGGAGTCGGCGCCCTCCTCGTAGTAAGGTTCCGTCCTGTCGCCGGCTTTCAATGTATTGGCTTTCTGGGGCCCGTGAGCCCTGTTAAGGCGATCACTCCCAGCGTGAGTAGGGCCACTGTGAGCAGCCGTCCGTGCCTGTACCGGGCACGCACAAGCATGCACCATTGACAGCAGCAATCGCAGCAGCACTGCTGTCAGCTACACTCAGCGTTGCTGAGTTGCTGAGTGTAGTTCCTGAGCTGTACATAGACCAATATTGCGCCGGAGACCAGGCCTGGTGCCCAGCACGAGCATCACGAATGTCACGAATGACACAAAAGGGGAATGCACAAGCAGGACCACTTGCAGACTTCGGAACGCGTTTCTGTTGCAACGTTTCCCATATGGCCTCCCCAGGAAGCCGCGTGGTCAGGGCCATGATGCTTGCCTGGAGAATGGGACTAGAGGATGATTCGGACGACCCACTGGACTGGGCTCTTGGGCTCACACTTGGGCTCGGCTTAGGCCCTGGCCTTGGGCCCATCTGGAACTTCGGGCCCAGGGTTGCACACCACCTTCTCAGAGCGAAGCCACAGTCAAATAACGAGTCAATCGAGTCATGCGGATGTAAGGCAAGCAGCCGATTTCTTGTGATATTCCCCCAAGGCACGCCAGAGCTCCCAGGCCCACGCCACGGATTAAACAAATGCCACCGAACATTTCAGTGCAGTCGCCGACTCTTGGGCCCTGTGCACATTGGCCCAAACGACCCTCTGGGCGGTCTGTCGCCATGCACGCGACGCGAGCAACGCGAGGAACCCGAGCAACGCGAGCAAGGCGAGCAACGCGAGCAACGCGAGGATCCCGAGCAACACGAGCCACGCGAGCAACGCGAGCCCGGGACGGAAACGGAGGCCGTCGAGGCTCCGTCGGCGGCTCCGTCGGCGGCTCCGTCGGCGGCTCCGTCGGCGGCTCCGTCGGCGGCTCCGTCGGCGGCTCCGTCGTCAACAGCCGCACGCAGACATTTCGCCGAGAAAGCGGAGTGGACGGCCAATGCCCCAAGGACCAGGACATGAAGCCGACGCACATTCCATTGGCATAGTCAACAGTCGCGTTTAGCGAGGAGAAGCAAAAGCAGGAATGACAACAAAGAGAAGAAAAAGCAGGGTAATCGGGAGAAGGAGTTTGAACATAAAACGTGAGCAGCTCCGAAGATGAGTGAATGGGCCCCTCCCCCCCTCCCCCCCCCCCCCACCCCCTTTAACCCCGCTGCCCTTCCTCCCCGTTTTTTGCGAAACCCTCTTTCCTCCTTTCCTGTCCTGGGGCCGGCCCGGCTGCCGAGGCGGCGCGCGCAAGCGTTTACAATGATTATTGGATACTTGAGGAACGAGTTCCCAGGGAGCTGAAGAGAAAGGATGATCTCTGCAGGGTGGTCTACGATGGTCTACGTCTTCCTGCTCCGACTCGTTCAGTTGTTTCGACTGAGTTTACCTTGCCTGTTTGATCAACAAGCACAAGAGTGATGCTCTCACTTTGTGTGTCGGGGAGTGATGAACAGTGTGTTATCCAAAAATATGGTTTCAGTCGACCTCAGACGTTGGGACGTCGAGGGGTTGAGCAAGGGGAAGAGCTTTTGCACCCAGGGCATCCTGCGCTCCAGGCCGCGCAAGTTGCGCAGGAGGACAGAAGAGACTGACGATTGACGCATGCAACAGACAATGTTGACGGATCTCGACATGGTCTGCACGTCGTGCTAGCCACTGATGTCAGAGGCCCGTTGCTGCTTTGTATCCACAAGCAGACCCATGAGCTTTAAAGCTCAACAAAGAAACGAATGTTAGTGCCACACCCGAAAGAGACGGACGAGGAAAACATGGGCAGAATGACGGCAGCTACAGCTACGAGGGCATATCGGGGAGCGCCGCGGGCCGGCTCTCTCTCTGCGTCTCCCTCTGCGTCTCCCTCTGTGTCTCCGCGCATCGTCACAAGAGCACATGACACACACACACACACACACACACACACAGAGACTCGGACACGGACACGGACACGGACACGGACACGGACACGGACAGAACCGTGTTCCAAAAAGAGAGCGGAGAAGGAGGGGCGCCTCGCCCGAGTCTCCCATCTTTCCCAAGTTCAGATACATCTCTCGAATCGCTTGGGACCTGAAGCCGAGAGTCACGGGGCGACGCTGAGTATAAGATTTCGAGGGCACTCAGTGTAATTTTCATTTTGCATTCAAACAAATGTGAGAGCTCGGCTTGCCGATGTCCTGCATGAGCCAAGCCTGCCATGTTCTTCTGAGTCCGAATTTCCGAGAAGTTACTCATTACGCTTCTTGAAAGTGTTTTGAGAGACCCCTTCGAGGCGGCAGGCGGCCTGCAGCGCCAAGCTCCGGCCCACGCCCTTGCACCGTGACGCCAATTCTCCAATATTCTCCAACAAGCTTCGAACACTTCGAACACACAGCGGCCAACACGGCAACGGGGCCTGAAAGGAGTAGTCCATGATGTCGTGACGGAAAATCAGGAGCTTGTTGGGAGCAGCTGGTACCCGCCTGAGCTCTGAGCATCTCCGATGTCACCTTCTTTGCCCGTGGCCGCTTTAGGAATTCTGCAGATGGGGGCCCCTTATTGCTTCGCATTCGCAATACGTGGCCCCTGATCGAATGGAAGTCCCCAAAAACTCCCCATCCATCTCAAGGAAGGGGCTTTCCCGGCGGCTCTCTCAAATCTCGCAAACTCTTCGGAAAAGCGGGGGTGGGGGGAGGGGCCCTTCGGCTCCCTTGCGCTCCTCGACACTAAAGAGGAGAGAAATCCGTGTTCTTCCCTCCTGGACTCCTTTTCTTTCTCCCTGAGGGGCTTTTTCCCCAAGAAAGAGTCCTTTCTCGAGGGAGATGCATGCGCTTCTCATGGCCTTCGTTTCTTTGCCAAGAAGGTGAGGCCAAGGGAGAAACGAGAGGGCAGCTTCGACACTTCGACACAGCTCGGGCAACTGCATGCTCCGCTGACCACCAGAGAGGAGGGCGCCATCCTCCGTCACTCTCTGAGTCTCAACTCAAGTCTCAACTCTGTCTCAAAACACTTGGGGGGGCCGCCTTCGGGTAGAACCACACATCGCCCCCTTCGGCTTCGATGAGATGCATCACACAGAGCCTGACCAGGAGAGAAAGCACCACAGGGGCTCTGCTATGTTCCGCGATGAGACCTTCTCCGTCGAGAGAAGAAGAGGTACTCCTGTTGAAGGCTCGGGGCACGGACCAAAACATCAAAAAGCAGATAAACAATGGATAAACTCAGCAGATCGAAGACACGACTTATGTGCGATCGGTGTCCTGAACAGGCACCGTCCAACCCGAATCTGGATCTTGCATCATGTCCCGCACGGACTCGGGCCTCTGCCATATTCAGAGCACGCCCGGCCTTCCCCAACAAGAGGGGGGAGAGACAACTCAGACAACTCTCAGCTTCTCTGAGCTTCCCAGCAAGTAATCCTCCTCTTCGTTCTTCGTCATGGACCTTGACACATCCCGAGCGTTGCACATGTTGCCACTCTGCGAGCTCTAAGTCACACGGAGCCGCGGTCTCTCAAGCTGGGCACGCAACACTCGCAGGAGAGGGTTCATGATGTAGCTAAAGCTGACACCCAACCTGGGCAGTCTGAAAAGCTGCAAGGATGTTGCAACCGGACAGAACGTACGAAGGTGCAACATATGGGTCAGCAAAGGTCATTAACGTCAGGGCAAGGGAGACAGCGGCTGGGATGTGCTGTGGCCCGTTGCATCTTACGAGTGCGCATCTAGAACAGCCTGACTAACAAGGTGGGAAGGTCTTCACATACTTTGCCTGCCTTTCTTGGTCACGCTGAGTATGCGCACACAACGCACACTCCAAGTCTTTGGCGTGTGTATCAGAGGTGCAATGGCCGTCGCCAGGTCGGTGAAAAGCTTCTCGCCTGCATCATAAGAGCACAACCAGAACAAAATGCAGAGCCTTGTGTTAACACTTGAGACTTTGTGGCCGAGCTCGGGGCTATCATCGAAGGCTTTGTTGTCGAGCTCTTCATCCTCTTGCAGACATGGATTTGTACAGATGATGCGAAGTTCGCGACCTTGATATCACGTCTACTTTTGCACAATGTTCCTACGTGGTGCTTGCACTGAGAGGCTTCACTGGGATCTCAACACCCGATCGTGAAGCTGTTCTCAGCGCGACAGATGCTTCCGTGATATTCGGGATTTCCGACAAACTTCCGTGATCCAGCCCATGAATTGAAAACTTGAGCTGAAAATAGCTGAAACCTCCGGGTAGTTGAGGCCGTCCGGGTTGGACTGCTCCTCGCGCCGCTCCTTGAGCCAAGCGACCTCAGGAGCACTCGAAAGAAAAACTCATGCTCAGAACGAGGACTCTTGTCTCTTCTCTTCTCTTCTCTTCCTGCACAATCTGTGTTGCTTTACGGCCTTGTTGTTGGAGTCGTAGCCCATATAGCCGGTCTCACGTGCTCATTGGGTGGCCAACTTCCTCTTCTGTGTTTTGGATCCAAAGCTGGCCTCCACCTCTTGCTTCATTCGAAAGAAGTATCTGTCCTGCTCCTGTAGAGCAAGACTGTGTGAGTCTATGTGAATCCTTCTTGGAGATCAGCGGCTCACAAGTAGCCACTGGCCCCGTCGGCCAGCTCCGCTCGCACAAAACTGCGCACTCAGGACTTTGAGCGTGCACAAGCTGCAGTCACATTGTGACATGACGCAGTCCACTAGTCCTGCAAGCGACACTGGAGCCTAGGGCCTAGACACATATGTCTTCGGGGATTGAACAGAGAGACCATATGACGCTGCCAACACGGCCGGAAACCTACTCATCTCGTTCCCCCTGTGCACGGTGCTCCTGCGCACTCCTCCAGGCAGCTTCGCGCTCCTGAAAGAGCAGAGCAGAGCAGAGAGCAGAAGGAGAATGCAAAGATCTTAGCTTCCCCGGGTCCGCTCACAAATTTTTAGCACTGCGACAGCCAGAGCCCACTTTGCCATGTTGAGTACTGCCATTTGCCTTGCCTCATCGCTCAAGCTGGTCTGGATCACGCAGTAGCCCTTACTGGCGAGTGCAGCAACCACGGCCTGACGTCACAACAGAAGAAGGGGAGCTCGCCTTACACACATCGGGAGAGATCTGCCTCTCCGAAGCGGACCCCTGCTTCCTGAAACAAGAGGCAAAGGGCCCCAAGGGGCCCCAAACAAGTCTCACAACGAGATAGGCACTCCTCTAGTTTTGGGCGACAACGCTGGCCTGAGCCCCTTCTGGCCAGATGACATCGTAGACGCCCTGGTCGCTGGATCGAAGAGACCTGGCGCATTGAAGGAAGGCTCCGTCCTCAACACGGCGAGCCTCGCTCTTTGAATAAAGAGCCGCAAGCGCGCTTGGCAATACTCCTGCAAGTCGTCCCCAGGCAGGGCCACCATAAGATCACAAACGATCACAACGCGTGATGCTGAAACAAAGCAATAACCACGATATGACAACACACTGCCTGTGTTAGACTTGGAAGGCTTGCGGGGGGGGCTTGTGGTAGCGCGGATACTTCTTGGACCTCTTGGACTAGTTGATAGACACGGGGTCTCCAAACCTCGCTGAGCAGCCTTTCGAGGGACAGCATGCAGAGTTATGCAGCCCGATGCACAAAAGCGACCCCAGAAGAAGCCCGTTCCTTCGTTTGCGCACTCGGATCTTGGTCACGACTAAGGATCAGTGCCCCAGACATCTTCTCATGGCTTCTCTATATCCGACTCTCTCCAGCACACCTTTTTTTCAGCTCCGACGCACAACTCGTTGAGCGACAGAACTAGGTGAAATCCGCCCACGGACCATTCTGGTGGACGCATCTGCATCACTCAGCCCGGCCTGAGATAGCAGATAGCATCCGAAACGTCCACTATAGGATCTCATGTACGAATTTTGTCCCGCTGCAGGAGGCAAGTCAAGCTTCAGATCAGCAACTGCTCATAATGCTCATACTCCACTTGACTCGACTTGACTCGGCTCGACTCGGCTCGACTTCAGCAGCCCATGCTTCCTGCCTGGCACGATAGGGGGAAGTCTCGACCAGTCTTCAGTCACCTGGACTCCACATAGCGGAGATCGTACAGAAAAGGAGCCAAAGAGCTGAGGCAAAGCCGAGGCAAAGACCCAAGGTGTCATTCCCAAGATCATTCCTCAGACTTAGAGATTTTGGCATGAGGCGGTTGGGGACACATGCGTACTCGCTCTCTCTCTCTCTCTCTCTCTCTCTCTCTGTTTGGCGCACCATGAGTGAGTCAAACACACTCTCTCAATGTCCACTCTCTGCTGTCCCAGCCGCTGCATTTCTTCCGCCGCCTTCTCCGATTCCTGCAGAGCAACTCGCTCCCCCCGAGAGAGGCAACCGCACGGAGGGCACCACAGAAGGCTCTACACAGCAGCACACATATCACGGCAGACCACAGATCTCTGCACCACGCTCAGAGTCACTGCGACCGTAGTAAAGTTTCTCATGTGGGTACCCTCCTCTCAGTCGTTCCCTTGGGCCGAAGTGTGGCTCACGATGTGGAGAAAATCATGTGGACCCTCTCTTGCTCTGCTGTCGCTCGCGGGGATCCGAGGTTCACAAAGGGATCATTTTGGAGTCGCCGCCATTGCTTGTCCATTTATTGCTGACCCCGAGACAGATGAGTCACGGTAACCAAGTGTAATCAGCAGATGCGCTGCCCCCAAGATTATGGCATGCGCTGCCATGCGAGAAAACCAGTCTGGCTTTGTTCCGTCGGCGTTTTGAGGCCGTGCAGCGTTCGGCCCGAACGTTCTCTAGACGCGCAGATCGTGCAAGATGCACCATTCCTGCTGAGTCCTGCTGAGCCCTGTCTGCAACTACCGTGTCTCGGACTCGAAGCTGCCCAACGTGCGAAGCTCCGGCCGAAATCGCACACGAGGGCGGGGGGGGGGGGGGTTTTGGGAGGGTAGAAGGCGGTAAAGTGCATTCTGCAGCAGAAGACCTCGTTGACCTCAAGCCTAGCGGGGGTGACGACTCGGCCTTTCGAATGTCTGTCAACGTCCGGTATCTGCCGGCTCCGTTACGTCAGTGCGTCTTTCGGTGCAACTTTTTTCGCTAATCTCAAAGTACGCTGCTGCCCAGATCCCTGGCCTTCAAGGACTGCACCACAGACTTTGCTGAGATGGCCCTGAGCAAAACACCATCATGGTGTCAAGTGTGTCACTCCGCGCATGTCCACTCACAGCACCCTGTGTGCCTCAAGTAGCCGATCAGCCGCTCATCATCACCGCTGCTCTTCTCCTGCAAGCTTAGCCGAAGGAGCAATGCGCGTAATCAAGGTGCAATGCGCGTATGCGTGCAGCTGCAAGTGCCTCGATGAGGTCGATCTTGTCTGCCTGACAGTAAGCGACGGGAGATGGGCCTAGAGGGCCTTAGCTCCACTTGCCAAGGCCACAAGAACAATGATCTCTTTTGCAGAGGTGCGGGGGAGGGGTGTGGGCTTTTGTGTTGCAAAAACTTCAGAGAGCGAGAAAGGTCACGCCACATTCCCGGCGCCTCCCCTTTGCCATTGTCGCCCTTCGAGAGACAGAATTGGAGAGCAAAAAAAAAGAAGGGTGCCCCCCAGTGCCCCCAAAGTTGCTCGCGTGTTGCGCGTGCCAGCGCGGCTTCACGACTGCCCAATGCTGCTTTTTTTGGGCCTCGCCCTTCTTGAACTCGACCTTGAGCCGCTTGCCAAGGATCTTGTAGCCTCGAGAACTGGAAAGAAGCACACCTAAAAGAATCGGCTCGCTCAGCCAGAGGCTGCAGTATGCCTTTTTTTGTACTGCATCTGTGTTGGGCACTCTCAAAAGGAGGGGAGGCGGAGGCGGAGTTGGAGTTGAAGAGCCATGCGCGGCCTTGCATCTTCTTGATGGCGGTGGCCGCGCTCACGCGGTCCTCTGGAACCGAATTCTCAATCACTCCGACTCTCTCCCTCTCTCCCTCTCTCCCTCTCTCCCTCGCTCCCTCTCTCTCCCTCTCTCTCTCTCTCTCTCTCTCCCTCTCTCGCAGAAACTGCCAAAAACAAACAAAGACATGAAGAAAGAGAGCAAAGAGAGTGCGCTAAGAGAGTCTGTTGCAGAGACAAAAAGGGGAGCTATTAGCTCCTCATAGCTCACGAAGCCGAAGCCCCTTGAACGACCAGTGCCAAGTTCCTGACGAAGACTTTAGAGAGAGAGAGAGAGAGAGAGAGAGAGAGAGAGATTCTCAACTTTTTCAGTCGATCCAGAACTCTACGACTCTTTGCTCCAGCGCTTGGTTTTACTAAGCGTGCGGGCCTTCATCACCTTCGCACTTACCACATTTCCATGCCTTCGTCGCTGCGCATAACAGGCTCTTTTCAGAGCGGAACCCCTTCGCGCATTGGGGGCAGAGTCGCAATTCACCTTTTGAGGGCCCCCACGGAGCGAAGTACTCTAGCAGGTCATCATCAGTCCAGTCCTGGGCCCACTTAAGAAGCTCGATCTGGGGTTCGACTTTGTCGGAAGGGCTCTCCACAATTCAAAAGGCCAAAAAAACACACAAAAAACAAAAGGTTATCCAGAATGTGCACAGCGGACTTGGGTCCACTCATCCGGCAGATGGAAGACAAAGAGGTTGCAGCCAGGCGGGCCGAAGCTCGGCTCCTCTCAGGGAAGAAAACTCAACGAAAACTCAACAAAACCTCGAAGCACTCAAAAAGTACTCAGAGTATCTCAGAGTGGTCTGTGGCAGAGCCTGACACGGCCCGGCCTTAGAGCTGGCATCCGACTTCCCGCCCGCTCTCCTCAATCGAGAACGAGAGCTTTTGCAAAATGGGGCAAAGAGAGTCAGTGAGGCTCAGTGAGAGTTCATGGAGCGACATGCCCCAACGTGCTGATTCTGGGAGCAGCCACCGCCGGTCGCGCTTGCCTTTGCCCTCTGACTTGCCTCCACAGTCACATCTATTTGACAAGAACTTTCAGAAAAATTGTAAAAACACACCCGAACAGGCCCGAACAACCGGGGGGCCTTCATCACTTCGCAGCTTCTTGAGCTCTTCCTGCACTTTCTGTCAAGCAAAGCTCCGTCTTGCCGCCCTAAAGCTTGTTAAAATGGTCCGGTCCCTGTCGCTCTCACGGTCCCGCCAAGGCCTAGGGGGGGCTTTCCAAATGGGCGCACGATGTCACGTGCAGAAGGCCGAGCCATACTGAGCAAGTGGCCCAGGGACAGCACTGTCCTTGTGCTTAGCCTCAGCGAAGAGCTAAGCAGCTAAGCTGGCTAAGCTGGCTAAGCCAAGGATTCTGAAAAGGATTGAAAAGATATGAAAAGAACACAGAACGCGCTCTGCATTGAGACTCAGGCATGACCGGTTGTGCTGGAAGTGCTTCCGCCGTTGCCATCCTCACAAAAAAACAGAACCATCATACTGCAGGGGAGAAAAAGCGTGCACACGCTTCTGCTCTGGGGATGCAGCCGGAGAAGGGTCCAGCTCCGCAGGTCGCTCCCACCTTAAAAGCTCAGAGGCCCTGCGAGAGGCTTCAGAGACAGCTCCAAGAGAGGGCCCCCGTGCTGCGTGAGCCCCGTCTTGGCGTTGTAGTAGTACTTGGCACCATCCTCTGACAATGACAATGCCGATCCCCAAACTACAGTAGAAAGGCCCCATCCGGCCCATCCGGCCCATCCGGCCCATCCGGCAACTGGGGGCACGCTGGCACGGCTGGCACTAGGCTGGCACGCGCTCTTTTCGAAGGCCGCGAGAGCTCAGTTTGCGCGCTGCTTCTGACCACTGAAAAGGCCGCTTCGAGTATCATCCAGCCCATCGCGATCGTGAACCTCGACATCAGCGGCCATTAAGCGACTTTTGAGCGTATCTATTTCAGGAGAAGCTGTTGATTCCGTGACATGGCTGAGAGCGAGTCGTACTCAAGCCGCTTGTCACATGTTCTTTCGAACTCCTCCACTTCTTTGACGCACCTTCACGACCGCAAACACAACCTGTGCAAATTTCACCACTTCATGACGGTGCATGTCATGGCCTCGATATGTCACCGCTGTTCTCCTCGATGCACACTCGTAGCGGCCGCATGGTGCAAACGATATGGCCTGGACCAGCTGAATCTGCACTGACAGATGCAGAAGCTTTCGGATCAGGAGCCCGGCTTTTCTTCAGCTTCGCAGGGTTGGACTGCATCATGCCCCCACCGGAGCCGCTGGCCATCGACATGGCTTCGACTCAGAGCAGCAAAGCACGAACGCTGATTCACAATGATTCCAAGGCCTTCGGCAAAGCCTAGCATAGCATGATCTGGCAAAGATAGCTAAATTCTCGACATTGAGCCATGCTAAAGTGCGGGGTCACATCAAAGGCCGCGTCCACCCTGTCTGACCCTCAGAAGTCGCGAAAATGCAGCGCCCCCCAATTCCTTGTCGGCGTATTCTCTCCACAGTGGTGGCATCTCCCTGGGCGAGAGGCATGCGAACTGTCTCGTGCCACATCTAAGCCTCAGCTAAGAGGGACAGCCTTAGGACCCCGAGCCAAGCTCCACCAAACTAGCGCAAGAGCAAGGTGCATTAGGATGCACTAATGTGTACCTTGGTTTCAGTCCAGTGCCTCTGACCTTTAACAAAGGGATCTTGAGTTCTGCGCTGAAGGAACGGCTGCCAGCTCCAGTATTGCGCCGCGAGAGCCTGGGGAGAGTCTGGCAGGATCTTTTCACGTGCAAAACGGAGTTGCACAGTTGCACATAGTTGCACATAGTTGCACATAGTTGCACATAGTTGCACATAGTTGCACATGAGGATCTCTGAGGAGGCAACGTCATAATCGTACATGCCTGATGGTTGGAAATCCGGCGCATTGCTGCTCAGCTGGCTCCGGGACTCCCTTTCACTGTCACCTCCAACAGATTCGGATTTACGTCTCAAATTCAGCTCGGCTCAGCTCGGCTCTCCGTTCGACCACACCTGACTCCTCGAGCCCTTTACCTGCGTCGCAGTGCATGCAGTACATGGCATCTCAACTTTTTGGGCAGATGAGTCAGAAAGCAGAGAGGCCGTGTCCTCGATCCCAATCCCGTGTTTTGCCCCAGTCGTCTCCCTGCGCGCTGCAGACTGAAGGACTAGACTTCCCGTACGCCGTACACACCATGGCAAGCTTTGCCACACCTTCTTGCTTTTGCCTTTCGACTCTTTCGACTTCGCCCCTTCCTTCGCTTCTCGCTCGCCTTTGCCCCGGCCTTTATCCTAGCATCGATTGAGAGTCACGCACAAGCACTCGACAGATCCTCAACAACAAGATGCTTCACACAGAAGCATTCAAAGCGACCGCTCCTCATCCGGCCACCATTTCCCATCACCTGCGGATCTGCATATACAGCTGGCTGGCCAACACAAATTGGACAACAGGGCCTTTCCACCCTCCTCGCTTGCCACCTTCCTTCCGACCTTTGCCGCTCTCTTTGGCCTGCCACGCATGTTGCAAAAAATTTCCTTTTCTGCAATCAAGGATGTGGCATGAGGGACCTCTTTGACCTCCCATCGCGAAGTTCCTTCACCCTGGCGCCAGCACAAGCATTCTGCACAACATATAAACCAGAACTGCTGCTGCATGGCCTTTCCGCCGGCAGTGGCCCTGAAACCACCCATGGATTGGTGCAGTGCACCTGCCACAAAACCCAACAAGCAATAAAAAAGGACCACATTGATCTTTTCGGCGTGCAGCTGAGCTGCCAATGTGCCGGCAGGCCCAAACGACACTTGCTACATCTTCAGTCAGAAGCCGCAATGAGCCACAACGGAGCAAGCATTGGATGCACTAGAACCGTTCAACCCTCAGACGGCATGCCCGGGCGAACGAGCCCCACGAGCCCTAGACCGAGGACCCGTAGGACACTGAAATCTACTTTGAAAATCGGCTTCAAGTTTAAAGCTTCGGAATTAATGCAACACCCTGAGGTAATCAGCCGGAAGGGCGTCGCTAGTTCAGAATCCCCGAACCCCGTGTAAGCCCCCCAAAGCTTCCGAAATCATTAAAATTGCAATAGACTCTCCTACGCTTTCTTTTCACTACACCCTGGGCTCTCTCCCGCATCCCGCAGGTTCCCGAGCTGCAGCTGGTCTTGGGGAAGCTGCCGGAGCTGCCGCTTGGTTTATGGAGGCTTTACGGAGAACCCATCTGGGAGGGGATTTATTGAAACAGTCATGATTGCGCATGTTCCCTCTCAGGCGGTAGAGTAGGGTGTATAGTGACGTGCTGTACGTAGATATGTGCGTGAGCGAAACAGCAATGCGGACTGACTCCCCCAGAAGAGCTTGCAGAATTGCAGATTTCGTGCATCGAGCACGGGCACAGACTCATGCACCTGGACTTAAATCCACTGAGCGCCTCCAGGCTACCAAAAACTGCAGATTAAAGAGGCGGATCTTGCATAGACTTGCTCTCCCGAACATATCCCAGAACGAACCCGCAAAGCTTTGGAAGGCGATGCCTGGGCATTGCCGACATCAAGCATGTCGGTGGTAAGACGCCACGCTGGCTGCGCCAGCTATAAAACACGGAGATAGCAGCCACAGGTAAAAATTAATTAACAATTATTAAAAAATTGATTAATAATTAATTAATAATTAATTAATAATTAATTAATAACTAATTAATAATTAAATAATAATTAACTCATAACTAATTAATAATTCATTTATTAATAATTAATTAATAATTAATAATTAATAATTAATAATTAATAATTAATAATTAATAATTAATAATTAATAATTAATAATTAATAATTAATAATTAATAATTAATAATAATAATTTAATAATAATAATTAATAACTAATAATAATAATTAATAATTAATAATTAATAATTAATAATTAATAATTAATAATTAATAAAAAAATAATAATTAATTAATAACTGATTAATAGTTAATTTATAACTAATTAATAACTAATTAGTAATTAGTAAATAATTAATGAATAATTAATTAATAATCAATTACTACCCCCCAACTCCCCAATCCCCCCACCCTCCCCCCCGCACCCACCCCCACCCCCCCCACCCCCCCCCCCCCCGGGCCACCTGGTTTTACGGGCCTCTGGCAGACCTGATCAGCCGCCCGCTCCGCCCACTTTCCCCATCTCACCATCACCGTCCCCCCAACCCCCCTTCCTGGCCAGCTGGCCATGGCCCCCAATGGCTCCATGCCCTTGATGGTCCGGCATGGAGCCATTGGGGGCCATGGCCGGGTGGGGTGGGTGGGGGGGGGAGGGTGAGGATTGGGGAGTTGGGGAGGGCTGGAGTGGGGGAGCAGAGATCGGTGAGGGGCGGAGTAGTCGGGAGAGGGTAGGTCTGCATGGGGAAGGGGGTGGGGGGGGAGGGGGCGTGGGGGTGGGGGAGGGTGGGGTGCCGAGCGGGTGGCAAGTTGGGTGAAAGCGGTGAGAGGGGGGATAGAGATGGGGAAGGGGAGCGGTCGGGGGGGAAGGGTGGTAGGGGAGAGGGTGTCATGATCAAGCAATATCAAGACAGTACCTGGCGCAGAGTTCAGCACAGTCATGATTTCAGGCCCCCCCCACGTGAAGTGCACTGCCGCTAGTCCAGCCTTTAGAGTGTTCACAAAGATAGGGAACCACTTTTCCCTATAAGTGCCTTCCCACTGCATCCGTGCAACGAGATGTCGTTTCAAGTTGGGGAAGTGCGGGATGGACAGGAAATTTCGACTGTCCGTGACCAAGAGGAGGACATCGGCACCCGCGTGCTCCGCGTCTCGCAGCTGCGGAAGCAGGCAGTTGAGCAGCGCAAGGTAATCAACCGCTGGATGCAACCCCTGCGAGTCCGGTGGCTCGCCAGTGACCGCACCCACGGCAGCCCGCAGGGGCAAGATTCCATCCGGGGTAGGTTCAGGGAAGTTTTGATCCGTTGCCAAAGCCTGCGTAATGTCAGATGCGTTGTCTTGCTCTGGCGGGCAGTCCGCGTTCCGTGCGTGGAGCTGCCGTATAGCATCCATAGCGGTCTCGGCAAGCACCTGTGGGCAGGGCGTCTTGTGCTCGAGCCAGGGCAAAATGTCGGCTTCGGCAGGCGTCAAGGCGGAAGGCGACGAGGAAAGGAGAGGATCTGCTTCCCTGCTTCCTGTACGTGGTCTAGAGAGGGGGCACCCGGCATGAAAGCTCTGGGTTGACTTGGCATCGGAGACTGAAAGGGCGAAGGACAGGGCTGCCTCCCTACCCGCTCCGTGTCCGGCAACTGCGCGAGACCATGGGGGGGGAGTGACGGCGCCAGCAGGAGGTGCGCACACAGGTGCAGCAAGCACACGACCCGTCAGGGCCCTGCGGCATGGTGCCTATGCCTGGCCGCCCTGTATGCAAGAGAAAGCAGCGAACTGTGGCTTGCTCCGCAAAGCAGATCGAGTTGCTGTCACGCAAAAAGGCAGAGCAATCCAAACGCAAGAGGTGCTGCACTTCCCCTGGGAAGTAGTGGTTCCAGCCCGTTGCATCTGCCTCTGTGGGTAGGATGATTCCTGCCTGCATGGGCTTGGTCATCGCTATATCGCTGGTCCCTGCAGTACCAAGCGCGGTGAGGTGGCCCCGCTTAGCAACAAAGACATGAAGTACCTGCGACCCGGCTTGCAGCACATACTGCTGACACGCGTAGGCATCCATGGCTGCGGTGGCAGCAAACTGCAGACTCCGATGCTACGGTGGGCGAGCTGAAACTAAACTAACGGAAGCAAAGGCACAAATCTCCCTGGGGCGTGGAATGCAAAGAAGTCACCAAACGGCAAAGAACAACACGATAAACCGATGACAAGATTGAATCAAATGATCAATGCACCCCTAAAACTTTGAGCCCGCGCAAAGTTCAAGAGTGCACCAAGCCAGCAATTGCTTGGCCTCAAACTCCACGCATCTCCACACGCAGCCAAACCCCCTGCCAGCTCCAAACAACCGGAAGACCGTTAGCCGAAGTTCCAAAAGCTTAAACAACCTCTAAGCGCCTCCGAAATCCATAAATCCCCCAACAAGCTCTCACACTAGCAACCTTTCTAAACCTCCAAACCCAAAAAAACCTTCACCTATTGAACAGGTCCTTGTGTTAAAGCTCGGCTTGCTCGGCTTCAAACTTTGCGCATCTTTATGCGCTCAACTAACAACCGCGGAACAAAGCCCACAAACAAGCTCTTAGCAACCCAAAACTTCTGACAAACTCTGACAACTAGAAACTTCT